TCCCACTTCATTCCGTCTCCTTCATTTTGTAATAAAATAATAGAGGGATGAATTTTCATTACCACACATAAAATCGTTCGATGCTGATATGCAAGGAATTCTGCATCTCCAGGCTAAATTGACCGGTGATATAGGTGCATGTAGACTGACCTTTACTTGACACTTGTATTAAAACATCCTAAAAACCCCTCATTCTGTTATACATTTCTTGATTGGGTCTTTTTCTTGCAGAAACACCATAAATAATTTTGTGTTATGAAATGACGCTACTTAGTAAGGTGAAGTGAAAAAAATTGTGAAAGTTTTGAAAATTTTTCTGATGAAAATATACTACCCCTCAAAAATTGTGTATTGACTAATATATCACTCATGATTTTTTTTTTCTACTTCACTTCATTCCTCGCAGGAGATTTGAATTTTTTTTTATTTTGCAATGGTATGGAAAAACAGGGACATTTTTGGCAATTATCAGAAGAAAATGAACAACCTCCCTATAAGTTATATCTCGACTAATATATCACTCTTTAATTTTTTCAGAATTTTTCTACTTCATCTTCATTTCCACAAGAAGGCCCCAAGGTAGCCGATTGTTAAATTTGCTGAATACTGGTAGTTTGGGCTGGGCTTACTTCCATACGAATGGGCTGGCTGCATAGACGTTTTCGTGATTTTCCCTACGTGTAACGTGAATACGAGCCAGTTCCCCTCAGAAAGTCCTCGAACAAGGCAGATAATCCTCAAGAACTTTGTCGTAATAAATTAAACCAAAACAAACGTATTCCCACAAGAGCCTTTTAGTTATGTAGTGGTATGGATACAATTCAGACCTTTCAAAAAATCTATTTTTTTTTAATTAAAGGCTGTGATGGAATACCTACTTTATAAAAATACCACTCTTCGATGTTCAGTGAGCCATTGAGATCTATCTCATCACGAGGAGGCGTATGAAAAGTGTGTTCCACAGTGGCTTATCCGAAGCATTCTAGCTTTGAACACTGCATCCTTAGTATAATTCGTACCTCTGAATTCAGACTTACTTTCAAAACTGAGCATAATCGGCCTATCCAAACTGTTTGCTCTGATTATTCCATCTCGAACTATAGTTCTCATACTTGTCCGGAAATTCCCATAACAATTTCAACACACTTCTGAAACGTCTGAGTATGGCATCGAAAAGTTGAAAGCATTCCTTGTTATACTACTTCTGATCTTCGCTCCAAAGATGGGATGGAAGAGGTGGCTTTGTGACTTCTTTGTGCTGCCAGTCAATATGGTCAATGATGTGTTGCGCAATTATATTGATTGATTGAGTTTGTTTACTGGCAAGGGTGACTCCTTTGATCATGACGTTGCAAAAGAAATTCTTCGCACACCTAATTCCTGGATGTATTTCTGTTCGTCTACGAGCATAGCTAAGTTATCCAGATGCTTAAACATTTCGCTGAATGGGACCACCTATGATGACCTTCAGAATATCACTGGGGTACCAAGAGAACAAAAGAGTGCCCAAATTAGTTCCTCCCATCTTACATTAGAAAGGTTCCCATGATTTCGCGCTCTAGTTTCAGCAGCTCATATAGTTCAGATATTTTTTATCTGTATTAAGATTTAAAACATCATTCTCTCTTACGGCTGACAAATTTCTCTCAGTTGGTTGAAAATTAGTCACTAGGAGGTGTTCACATTTGCCGAAGTTCTTCCTACAGGTATTTAAAATACATGATATCAAGTTCTCGATCTATCCCGGTGATTCAACTTATGATGTCATGGTAGTTCCTTAGGAGTAAAACCGGTATGTCAGCTAGTGCCAACATCTTTCATAATTTCTAGTAAATAAATGGCACCTCTTAAATTTCCTGTATTCATTGCGATTTCATCACATTCAACGGATATAAGTTGGCATGTATCATGTTTCTCATGATTTAAACATGCTTCTCACCCCCTGCAAAGATCTTCCATACTCTTTCTCTAATAACCAAATGACACCTAAAATTCTGGTATTCATTGCTGTTTCATCGCATCCAACGGCTATAGGTTGTCACACATCAGATTTTATATCATTCAACGCGTTAACATAGTTTTCTTGATAGTGGACATTGAAAATTGAAAAACATTGAACATTGACATTTGGACATTGAAAAAAGAAATGTGCCCAAGGTATACACTGCCTGAGTTTGTAATCATCGATATGTGTTCGTTCGCTTTAGATAAGTAGTGGGAACTGTCATCTTTCGTATCCCTCACGGAATCTTTCCTCCAATATCTTGCTGTTTCTACCATAAAGTACAGAACTTTATCTTGAATTCTTCTGCTGTTACCTGGTTCCACTGATTTTGTGGCAAATTTCTTAACCCCCTTCGAAATTTACATCTTTCTACAATAAGTACCCTAAAATCAGTCATAGAAATGCTTACATGAGAGCGATAGCAGGCATTTTAGGAATGTCTCTCGCATGCACTAGGAAACGTTGCAAGCTTATTTCTGGTTTGGAATGCCGCTAAAGTTGATGACTGAGTATCTGAGACACCTGGTTCAACTTTTCTAGCACGGGATTGCGATGCTCAAAATCTATGTCTACCAGTTCGTCTTCAGCTGAAGCGCAGCTACATTGCTTTCTTCTCTGAAATTCATCAATTTTTGAATCTTTAAAAGCTGATTCTTTGTAAGCTTTCTTTATTTAGTTGCTGAGAAATTCGAAGATCAACGGTTTCAATGGGCACTCGTCTTACAGTTATCTGGTCCAATAGAAGAGCCAGCGCTCTCGCAGCAACTTTAGGCGCTTTGTCACAACTGCAATATTGTAGTCAGCGCATTTGTACGCACCAATATCAAACACGTTTTATTTCTTAATATCTGAAAGCTTTATTAGCTTTTTAACTTGACTGTTTCCTTTCTGCTGCTATAAACAGGTTTTGAATCGGATAGTGGGTAGTGTCGTTGACTGCCGTACCGAAGGGCTTGGGGTCGAATCCCGGAGAAGACATGGAATTTTGTGGCCATATAGTGCCTATATGGGAAAAGGACACGCAGAATACGCGGCAAACCGAAATCCTGTAAAGATGTTGGTTGTAAGAGAAGAGCCCCGGACTGTTCTCACTTAGAATTCTATCCGAGGAGGAATAGAATTCTGCTATACAGTTTTTAAGGCGAATAGTAGTTGTTGCGTATAAAGAATAGTGTCGTTGACTGCCGTACCGAAGGGCTCGGGGTCGAATTCCAGAGAAGTCATGGATGATTGTAGCCACTTTTCTCACTTATAATTCCATTCAAGGCGGAATCTTAACATTTAGCATTGCGTTCCTATACCTAATATGGCAGAATTAATGCACAGGTGTCGACCTTGCTTCAACCTATACCTGTATGGCTTTGAAAGGTTGTTCCTTTTCTATCACTCTCTCTTTTTCAAGGCAATTATTCTTAGAAAATGTAGAACTGAGATTGAAGCGCTATTCCAGTTTGACGGAAAACAGCTTTCCTACAATTTGAAAGAAATATCTTCATAAAATTTACACGCATACTGCTTTTTGCTGTTCAGAATTAATCATCTCTAATCAAATCCAATTGTAAGACTATAACACATCTCGAGCGAGTAGTACATTACAGCTAAGGTCTGTTGGACTAAAAGTAATGGGATATTTGTCTTTGGTTGAAGACATATTTCTCTGATTCAACTGACATGAGTTACCCAGGAAGGTAGACAGTAAACTGAGCTACTGAGCAATGACAGGAGTTGCTGACGTCTGTACACGCAACAGGAAACCGGACGATACAATCTTTACGCGTGCTGATGCAATCTACAGATGGATTGCCCTTTCAGTCCTTGCAAATCGGTTTAAATTTTATAATAAAATTTAAATCGTATATATTTTATGATGTAAAAATTCATTTTTTAAGCGAAAAGTAATTTCTTTGTACACATGTAGAACTATTTCGCAGTTTCGCTAATTTAAAATAAGACTACAGTATTTACAGTATTTTTAATAATTCATTGCTATCTTACAGCTGCACATGTACCGTGTTCATTGAAAACTATAATACTGAAATACTTTGCTATAATATATAAATTAAATTTCAAGGATTTTGCGTATAAAGAATATGAAGAGGAAAAATTTGAAATAATGTCCCATTTTATATATTAATAAAGAGGCAAATTTAAGTAAAGTGAATGGTCTACATATTTTAATTTAATTAAGTATTTTGTTGAAGTCTTCCCCATTTGAATGTTATTTCAACTTCATTCTAGGACGTTATACTACTGAATTATTTAAGAAAGTACGCCAAACTTCAATTTAAAATTATTAGAATTAAAGTGATTAAAATGCAAAATGCGTTTGAGTGTACTCCAATACGTTGAATTATTGGACAATTTATACTCCCGTATCTCCTCGTACTTGGACATAATAGTTGCTTACAGAAAGAGTCCATTTTATTTTCTGTTCTTAAGCAGTTAGCTGTGCACTGGTTCTCTGCAATAAAATTGTCTTTAATATATTTAATCTTTTGAGCTGTTATTGGTATTAATTGCACTCCATGCTCTGTTTGACTTTGTAAGTTACAACTGAGCTTAAGCTGCAAATTTCGTTCAATTTATTTGAATCCAGAAGCAGTGGAAACACAAGAGTAATAAAAATAAAAGATAATTTTAATATGAAATTTTCTTTTGTAGTAATTTAGTTTCCTTTAGTAAACAAATTAGAATTGTCATTTTGTGAAAATACATTGCAATTGTTCTAGATTAAAAGCAAAGAACATAATGAGAAATAAACGATACCGATATTATGTAAAATAAATTTACATAGAAAACGTAACGGAATTTCATGATAATTAAAGTTACTCTTGGCAACAAGATGAAAAGGGGAAAATGCTAGGTTATCAATTAATTGAATAGCACATCACGTGTCACTGTGTTTTATTACACCAGATTTGAGGGGGGGGAAATTCAAATCAAGCTGGTGAAGAAAGCTAATGTCTTAAAAAATAGAAATAACCTTCTTTTAAAGCTCAACTTTAAATTATATCCACTTTTTTACAGCATTTTTATAAACATCCTGTCAATGGTTGCATAAATTTAATCATGGCTAGGGAAAAAATATTTGATTCAGTTTTTCAAAAAGCTTTCACTGAGGCCATAAACAAAGAAGACAAGGTAAGCCATTCAAAATACCTAGAAATTTTCGCTATAAATGAACACTGATAATCATGGATAAGCAGCTGAAAGTATGAGTGATGGAATAGCAACAGGTAGAGGAAACTGAGTTTATTCAACATTTTTTTTTTTTTTTAACTGCTGCTTGAATAAAAAAAAATGTAGATAGGAGGAACAGGTTATTGGTACGATGCTGTTATCGAGACTGTCGCCATACGTTTTGCTAAATTGGCTAAGAGACCGATTCATATGAAGTCGTCAATATTTACATTTAAAAAAAAAAGTAGAAAAGTGTCGTTTCAAAACTGGCAGCAAAGAATATAAATTCGGCTAAAGTGCAGAATCGCCCACTTATTTGTTTGGCGCTTTTTACAAGAGTAAGAAGAATTGGATTTCTGTCTATTTTCTTTGACTTTTAAAGTTAAAATAGGTACATGTGTACATGGGTAAAGTCAAGAGAGTGCACAATGCCATTTTTGTCAATTCTGGGATTTTTTTAAACTGAAAATAGGTCGATATGTACATGGATACCGAGTATGTGCAATTCTTAAATACGCGCCAAGCAGTGGGTGATTTTGCACTTCACCCTTTTTTCGTTGTTTTACTTGAAGTCCTGTTTTAGATATTTTTGCATCTTTACATGTTGTTTAGATATTTTTGCATGTTTCCGTTACCTGTTTTTTGCTTGTTTACAGAATTAATTCAAATTCGCAAAAGAATGTTAAATTAGATAAACATTCTTGTGTTTATCTAATATGGCGATGAGTTAGCGATTTTCGATTTTCTAAAACGCGCAAAAACAACCGGTTTGGCGAATTGGCAATTTTTTGAAAATGCGCCAAACTGGACCGTAATATCCAGTTTTACCTATACGAGAAAACTTTGGCCATTCATAAATGGCTAGACTCTCAGTAAAAATAGACGGCAATGGTAGTATTGTCCAAATTGATGCAAGTTTGGTTTCGCATCGACAAAACAGCGTTAGTCGTTTCCTTTGGCCACAGTAGATATGCGGCGGAATTTGTCGATAAACAAAAGAATGTTTTCAGTTGCTCTGCGAGAGTTTTCCTTAAATTTGTAGAGAAAATATTATTCATGACACTTTAATATACTCAGAATGTTGGGAAATGTATAACACTGAAAAATTTAAAGAGACCAGATTTGAATCTTTCTGAATTTTATCGATCGAATATAATTTTATCGATCGCGATACTGGTTGTCTTACGCAAACTACGGTGAAGTTATGTGGCAGTGCGAAATAAATGTCAACGTGGCACTGACCGTAACAAACAGATTTTGATTTAATTGAGTTTCTGAGGTGGCAAAAGCGTCTTAAAAACGCAAGTGTTCCACCAGACATTTTAAAGGATATTCCCAGTTTCATGCCTCTGTGTTAATCTAAATTCCCTAACCTATCTTTCTTCTGATATTTTTGGCAAGCTTTTTAATTTATATTAAAAATTTCTAATTTTATGAATATCTGTTATGTTAGCATTTCCTGTAGATTTTTTCTTAAGTGTAATGTAAATACTATGTACGTCCAGAAAGTATGTTCCGTTTGGTAATAAAAGTAAATTGTGTACAGCTACAGAAAAGTTATTTATTGCACAAAATTCAACAACTCTTAAACTACTTTTCCACATAACTACCGAAAATATTGCAGGCATTTGTCATAGCGTGGCACAAGTTTTTGTATACCTTCTTCATAGAAATTTGCCGCCTGTGTCTTCAACCAGTTGGAAACAGTTTCTTTCAGCTCGTCGTCATTGTTCAAGTGTTGACCGCCAAGGAAAGACTTAAGATGTAAGAACAGATGAAAGTCGCTAGGAGCGAGGTCAGGGCTGTACGGAGGATGGTCCGTCCCAGCCAAATCCCTGTAGGAGGTTTTTCGTCACATTTGCAGTGCGTGGTCGTGCGTTGTCGTGAAGAAAAACAACACCTTTTGACAGCAATCCTCGGCGCTTATTCTGTATTGCGCGGCGCAATTTCCGAAGTGTCTCGCAATAAGCGTCTGCTCTGATTGTTTGACCACTCGGTAAGAAATCAATGAGTAAGATGCCTTTCCGGTCCCAGAACACTGTGCGCATCATTTTTCGAGGTGTCAAGATTTGCTTCGGCTTAACCTTTGCTGGGGATGAAGTGTGCCTCCATTCCATTGATTGCCGCTTACTTTGAGGGGTGTCGTAAGAAACCCAAGTTTCATCTCCTGTGACTATCTGTGTCAGAAATTCTTCGCCGCTTTCAGCATAACGGGTCAAAAACTGAAGTGCGCTACTCATCCGTTTCGTTTTGTGTTGCTCAGTAAGAATCTACCCAACGTGAGCAAAGTTTACGAAATTTCAGTTTTTTGGTAAGAATTTCATGCATTAGTGATCGTGAAATTTGGGGAAATTCCATAGCGAGAGCACTAATTGTAAACCTTCGGTTTTCATGGATCTTGTCATCAATCGCGTGAACAGTTCTTCTATAACCAAAGATGGACGCCCACTTCGTTCTTCATCGTGCACATCACTATGTCCGTCATTGAACTTTCGAACCCATCTTCTCACCATTGAATCACTCATCGCTTTTGGTCTGTAAACATCGCAAATTTGCCGATAAATTTCACTAGGTTTCACTTTCCTCGCATTCAGAAAACGAATCACAGATCTGATTTCACAAGCGGCGGGATTTTCAATCAACACCGACATTGTAAACAAGCACAACAAAGCGTACGTGACTGACAGCGATCTCCAAATGGCGCGCGTTTCTTCTCCTTGATACAGAGCGTCTACTGCGCATGTGCGGAACTGCGATCGCAGAGCTGCAGCGGAGATAAATTGAAACGGAACTTACTTTCTGGACGTGCCTATTTATAGACTATTTTTATGCTTCGAATTTTTCATCAGCTTTTGGCGATATCCGAATCCTGTTCCGATAACAGAACAATACTAAATTATGCTGTACACAAAGTAATAAATCGAAGTGCTTCATAATATTCATGTTGGGATTATAAATTATGTAATTCAATCCAATTCAGCAGATGAGGAATTGAAATTGCAACTCCTGTATCTGCAGATGCTTGTTTTCAATCGTTCCTTTCCCAGATCTTAATCACCATTTCTGATTTCTGCCAGAATGTTCGAAGAGTATATTACAATATTCCTTCTTCCTGTTATTGAAGGAACAAGAAAATAAGCTGAAGAACTAGTATTCTAATTTTCCTTTAACTGTAAATGTTAACTAAAGTAATTTCAACTTTTTGTTTAAATATAGCTAATTTTTTAAATAAAGCCACTTATAAATGGGTTTTTCCGAATAAAATGATCTAATGAATAGTAATAAATAGCAGGACGAAGCATGGCAGATCCAGTTTTGCTTCGAAGCATTTCAACGCGAAGTGCTGAGTATGTTCTTATAAAACTCATTTTGAGAAATTTAATATTTGGAACCGTAAAAGTTTACAATTGGGTGGCCCTTGTTTTTTTTTTTTTTTTTTTTTTTTTTTTTTTTTTTTTTTTTTGGCGATTCGTTTTTGATGCCAATATCGGCGCCAGGAAAACACAGTTTTAAGATGTTTCAAGATCGCCACTACACTAAACCAAAATTAGAAGTCAAAGAATTGGACAAACTCGGTGTCCATGTACACATCGATCTATTTTCACTTAAAAAAAACATCAGAGAATTGAACAAACTAGGCATTGCGCACTACCTTAATTTTGTCAATGTATAGATTGATCTATTTTCACTTTAGAAAAATTAGGAAGCTCAAACAAAATTAATATTATCATGGTAACCAGAAATGGGGTTTCATCGCCAAAAACTAAACAAAATTTGTCCCTAATCGAGGGGGCACCCAATTCTACACTAGAGCCTTTGGAACTATGTGTCTAGAATTAATATTTTAGGAAAGAAAGTCTGTAGTCACTTTTTTTTATCTAATAAGGCTTCTATAAAGACCTTGTATAATCCTAGCTTTGAAAACATTCCTTTAAGTTACTTAAAAGTTACTTGTTGTGTTAAATTAGAAAGCAACAATTTTACAACATTTAAGATTATCTTGAAATTATTCTTTTGCAATTCTTTTCAAAAAATTGCTTTTATATCCGTATCTTATGTCTTTTGGAGAAGAATGCCATTATATAAGGCAATCACTCATCTTTTTTAGTTACGAAAACAATGGTATTTAGAAGAGGAAAACGTTTTTCCTCACATAGAACGTGTGAGTATAGATACAAGTGATAGTGACAGCGAAAGTTCCACTTCAATGCCAGAAGCGCCAGAAACTAATATTTGCAAGAACTGCGTATCTTATCCTCCTGAATCTGAAAAAAAGAAAATTAAAGAAGGCAAAGGTATAACCTAATGATGATAAATATGTTCAATATAAATTAGCATTGCGTGGCTATATTCATTTTAATTAATATTATAATTATACACAATATTAATATTATAACTACTATATACAATATAGTAACATAAAATCACATATATACGGTTCACACTCATAGTTATATTTAATTTACTATACCTTATTAGGTATTATTCATATTAAATAACCAGTACGATCAATATTTCTCTAAAAAATGACTGATTTTGAAATATTGCTATTTTCGTCTATAACAAGGTTTCTTAAACTGTGGGTAGCGACCCTCAATGGGTTCGCCAAAAATTTTAGCAATTTTGATATTTTTTTACTTAGTATAATAATTTTACAATTACCAAATATTTTTACACAATGTATCTGAAAATAGGTAAAGATAGGACAATGCAGACATAGAAAAAAAATGACAACGTTTTGACGCATCCTTTTTATAGTACAAACGTTAATTTTCCTTGCTTTGCTGACGTGACGCTGTCATTTCGTCTGTTACTTATGTAAAATGTTCACATTGTTCTATGTCTTAAAATTAAAGTTAATGTCCTAAAACTGCAATAGTATATTACAGTACAAGTGAAAAAAATTGACAGTTTCACTCACGCGTGTGTCGGATTTGCGCAATACTTATGGGGTTCCACAACGTTTTTTAAATATTATGGGTTCCTGGGGATCAAAAATGGTATCGATATGTTTTGTTTAAAAGAAATTAAATAATGATGAATCTGTATCAATGTCTGAATGTTCCTCGCCATGTCGAAAAACGACGGCGTATAGAGCTACCTAATATTTTATACAAGTAGTTTTCCAGTTGAACATGTACACCTCGGATCCCAAATAATAAATTCTGAATTTTTTTTTATTTATTTCAGATTTTGTAAACAATTAATGGATTCTGGATTAATAGACTCACTGATTTAAAATCGAGGAGTTGCACCACTGTTCAAAATTAAGCATCTTTATTTCAAGCACTTTAGACTGTTGCAATTCGGCAAACTGTAAGATACTCATCTTTCAGTTTAATTAACAATCTTGGCTATTCCAAAGCAATGTGTTGCCATTACGCAACGCCTAAGATTCATGTGCCTAACTTTCAGACTTCATCTAGTAGTTTATTTAGTAACAAACTAAGTCACTTAAAAGCGATAAATACAGTTTTTAGAAATGTTCTCTTCTTTTTAATATGATTGGTTTAAATAAAAATCATAAGATACCGAAAGAGAAATATTAAATAGTTTTCTCAAATTTCACTAAGAAAATTTCACTAGACTTATTGAAATCATCATGTAGTACGTTTTCCATTCCTTATGATAAATATTTCAAGCACCAGCCTCTCAAGTTGCTATTGTTTAAAGAAATACTACAGCGAAACATATGTACGGAATTCTACAGGGAATTCTATAGACGAGCTGTGTCTGATAGTTTGTCTTTGAAATTTTTCGTATTCTTGACCTTATTTTTCACTGTATACTGCGGATCCATTGGTATGGATTATTTTACGAAATGGTGATCTTTAAAAGATAGCGGGTCAACAATTTTCCCACCACGCATGAGAAAAAATGTACTTTGCATTGAAAACGTAATATCTGACAGAAAGTTTGAGAAGCTTGCCCAAAATGTTAGGTAACAGTTAATAGATCTAATGATGGTAAGCTTCTTTGAAATAATGTAAGCAAGAACCATCCCTGCCTAAATGATGACTGTCTTCAACAGCAATCTACATTAAACTCATAACATTGTAATCTCCAGAAAATGTATTAAGTAAAACTTGTTTGAGCTCAAAGATCTTCGCAGTTATGTGCTTTGATGGAGGAATTTGAATGTTAGTAAACACTAGCTTACCGTAAAAGTCTTCTAGGCATATTACTACAGTAAATTCCTCTTTAAAATAAAAAGAGGAGTTATGGTAACCTTATAGGTAATGTTTACTAATGATTGTCTGAATGTTAAACTTTGAAATAATTAAACACTGGAATTTCATTTAATATGTCTGGAGAAGAATTATTGAATAATTTTTCTCTAGAACGCATTGTGCTGTATGACTTGTTGCTGACTCATGACGCTGCTTATTGCTTAGAAGAACTACTGGCTGTCCTCGCTTTACTAAATGTCGAATAGATATCTAGTTGTGGGCTGCATTCTTCAACTTGTTCAGCTCGGCTTTGAATGTTTGACATTTTCTAGCGAGGCAGATAAGATGTCTTGAAAATTGTTCCTTGTATTTGTATTTGAAGCGATGTAATTCATACACTGCGGAACGGTTGCAGTGTATTTGTCTGTTGTATACTTTCCACAGGTGGAGAAGCCAGGCGACGTTTTTCACGATCGACTGATGTGTCTCAGTCTTTGACAAAAGTAACAACGTGTTATTTTATGAAACTGTTTAAACGGTATTAAATTTCAGTTTTACTCGATAAGTAAATTTAAGATTATACGCTAACATACAGTTGCTGTGAGATTATACATTGACATACAGTCGTTATTGTATTGAGGCATACTGTTGTTCCTGTATGTCAGCAATCCACTGTAAACTACACGCAGTTGCAGAATATCGTTTGTTGAGCTGATGTTTGTGCTTCAAACAACGCAATCGAGCTGTTCTTGATGCGGGATGTTCTGACATTGAAAAGCAACGTCCTTTCCTGAATATACTTAAGTAATGCTTATAGAAAATACTTTTTACTTGCACCACAATAAGCGTTCGCTGATTTTAATCTTCCTCACTTTTTCACAAGTTATTCTTAGCTTTTTTATATCTTAGGACAGTTCAGCTCTGATCTGGTGTGGAGAACTTTTGTTGTTCCTGGGTCTGAGAAACGTGTTTTGAGGTTTTTTTCGTAGGAGACTTACTTTTCTTTTCCTTTCATTCTACTGCGATAAGTGGAAGTTCGTGTTATTTTATCAATTGCAATCGAAATTTTCTTAAAGAATACATATATACTATTTCGTTATTCGATGGTTGTTAGAGCTGCAATAACTCGGATAGACTTTATATCATAGCTAGAAGGTCACTTGAAGAGAGACGCACTCCACTATTGTCTACAGTTACAGTTTACATCCCTTTTAGATAAAGAACGAAGTGGAGCAGCAAACTGTGCATGGCTAACAAAAAGGCGAAGCAGAAAGAAGTACAGCGCAAAGCAGCGATATGCATGGACAAAAGTTTCTTGAATCTGATTGGATAATAGCTATCTACATTGCAAAATTACTTAAGCCAGAATGAAACGGATTGATGTGGTTGATTGTACAAAAAGCGTATTATAAACAATTTAGAAAAGAAAGGAGAGATGCAGAATTACTGGGCTATTGTTAAGTTATTATTTTGAGTTTTTTTTTAATCTTACAAATTCCACACTTTAAAGGAAAAACAAAAGCGCTTTCTGATAGAAAAGCAATTTTAGAAAGCACCATTAGACTACAAGAAAAACGTAATTTTTAAAAAGTCATGAAAATTCAATCTAAATAAATTGTTTTAATTAAGCAAGTTTTGTATGTAACAATTTTAACAATAAATGTAAACTTTAAAGATCTACTGAAATTTTCAGACCTGTTTTAGAGGTTTGCGAACCCAATGTTCTTTAAAAATATTATAAAGCCTGTCCTAAATTTGGAGTCCTCATTTTTCCAAAAATATAGTTGTAAAAATTTACATTTCTTGATATCCTTGCTGGCATATCGTTATGCAATTTTTGCAGTCTTTATCTCCAACGGCTTTTTAAAGACTGTTTCAGTCAATATAAAAACAAACATTTTCTTTTAAATATTCATGAAATTCTATTAAAATTAATCATTTACTCATTATAAAACAATCCATATTTCTTATTTCAAAACAATATAAAATGGACTTTAGACATTAATAAACATAGAAAAGCAACAAAATATAGCACGGTAACAAAACAAACTTTGAGAAAACATGGGCAGATGCTCAACAAGCGAATCAGCATAACTACTTACTGACAGCTGTGGAATGTTTAAATACAATAGCACATAAATACTTCACTTCCTTATACAGAGTAACTTACTCTTAGCATTCTATAAATTAAATTATGATTTATGCCCGTAACATTCCTAAACATTACGTAATTAAAACAAAAACATGAATGCACACTGAAACAAAAAAACTGAAAGCCTTCAGATTTTACATTACGCCTAAAGGGGCGTTTTTACCTTAATTTATTAATTATCATATTCTTCGCACTGAAACCACAGAATTCAGTTCAACAGCAATATTGCAAAATAAATTAAAATGAGCATATCTTTAGAATTTTTGATACACAGTCTCGCGCGCTGGACATAAAAATGTTCTTTCTTTTTTCCGTAGAGTGTAGCCATTGATCACTTTGAACTCGTTGAGTTTGTTAATCAAAAATTCGTTAAAGTGTTACAAATACTAAATCGGTAATAAAAAAAAAATTCCAAATTCCAAATTAGGGTTTCCAGATACCCATTTTCGGTGAAAGATCAAAATTTGATAGCTCTAGGTACTGTTGTTTTATCACAATACGAGAAACATACATATATTAATGCACATACTTTATTATTTAATTTCTTTAAATATAACACAGGACGATAATATTTGTTGGCAACAATTTGAAAACTGATTCCTCGTTTATAGTGAATCGACGCAAAATGCCAAAATGAAATAAATAGCCCATAGCCCTTCGGGCTACAAAAAAAGGGACAGCTCCAAATCTCCTGTTCTACTAGGCTGATTGAAGAAATTCAACTTACGTTTTTAATGTCTTGAAAGCGTGACTTTGAGTATATATTATATTTATATATAGCCATTGTTCTAACATAGGTATTTTGACACAGAATCGGTCTTTTCCTGAAATAATATATATTTTTTTCATATTTCGTTTCTATTATTCAAATTACGCCAAAGCGCCAAGTCTTGAAAAAAATCGCAAGAGTAGATTTAAAAAAAATTAGCTCTCAAAATTTTAGCTCCTCCTTATTATTTGAATTTGGTATATATTTAATAATATCTCTTTTTTATTAAACTTATTCCATTCTTCTTTTTACCTTTCGAAATTTAGGTTCATTCCAAATAAAATTCGACCATTTTTTTTACAATTTATTTTGTAAATTTTTATTTTTAAATAATTTTTATAAATTTTTCGAAAAATGTTTTGAATTATAGCCCATACAAATTTTACCATCATGTTAAAGTAGATGTATTTCTAAACATACCTGAAAAAAATTAGAATTTTTTAATTCAAAATTTCCTAAAATATACGTGAATTTATATATTGAAACGTTTCGAAATTTGGAAGATTTGTTATAAGTGATAATTACGCCAAATGTTGGTTCACGTACCTTCCTAAAATTATTTGAAAATATGAACGATGACCTTTCTCCCACTCGTCTTCAATTTAAAAAAGGAAAATTAGGTTGCTATAAATTAAGAAGTTCACCATGTTTGTCACCATGTAATTTATTTATAAATGTTGCTCCAAATTTTACAAAATTTAATATTTAGGCATAATTTGGGTCGTAGAATCGAAATGTGAAAAAACGATTAGCATGTCATTTCAGAAAAAGTCAAATTTTGTGTCAAAAATACCTATATTAGAATAATGCTATACATAGATACAATATAGTTCACAAGTCGCGCTTTCGAGACATGAAAAACGCAATTTGAATTTCTTTAATCGGCCGAGTAGAATGGGAGCTACAGAACTGTACTTTTTTTTCTTCTTTTGCGTAATACAAAACTTCGAATACAAATTAAAACTGATGACTTATCCATTCAATTCGCATTATCCTAAAATAAATAAATAAATAAATATGTTTAGCGTGTGGTAGCAGTTTGTACTAAACTTTGGCTAGAGGAAAGCTACTGGGGAAACACTCATGCAGTTCATAGCATAGCAGACTTCTATAAAAATATTTTCAGTATTAGGATTATACCTAAGGGGACCCGGGACATGTGCTACCACTGCTTGTATCCTCCCTAAAATGACGATGCAAGGTATAATACACCTAACGTAATTCTCGAGAGTACAGAAAAATATTCTTTCGTATTCTTAGAATCTGGCATTCTGGCCTGCCTGACTGTGGTTTAGAGTTCTTCCTCTATTCATCTACGGGCTTTGGGGAACGTATATAATAAATTTTGAACAAAACAAAGGATAAGATAGGAAAGCTGCCATCAAATTTGAAAATATTATGTCTCAATTAAGGTTTAGAATTTTCGTAATCATATTTGTTCAGGGAAGGCTTTTCAAAACGTTTCATACAAAATACAAATTTAAAACTTTTTACACCGATAACTTATTATACTTTATTAACATAACCTTAATTTATAAAGGCAACAAATTTCAAAATTTTACAACTTATTTTCATTGTTTGAACAGAGACTTTAACATCTTTGTAATACTATTACTGAAATTATGGTTTTAATTAATATTATTACATTTCTGATTTTTCTCATTTTACACATAACAGGAAGACCCCTCAGTTTTCTCTAAATAGAAACATATTCATTCCAATACAAATTCAGACATATTCATGTATTAATTCACCAACGGTTAAGGGAATAATGCAGAATATAAAATAATATAATAACCGTCAAGATATCCAAGTTATCCTGGTTCAAAAAACACTAATTCAAATCACACATAACATCAAGGTAAATGAACATTATGAATCAGGTTTCAAAACAACCAAGTTTATTCAAGTCTAACACACATTCAACTGACACTGCCAAATCCAAGAAGAAGAAGTATAACATAATGAAAGATTTACGCCCTCTTTGTAGATTAAATTATATTTTCACATAAAATTTCTTACACAGAAGTTATTCGTAATGGCTTCCGTTCCTTATACAAGGAAAATGGCCATTTTAACAGCCCCATTATATTAAAAGAATTAAAAGCTCACTCCATTATATGTTAAAATAATAATAATAATATTTATGTAGGAAAATTAAATATTTTTCATAAATGTATACCTTCAAAGTCTATCTTAACATATTCTAACTTTGCGCATAATTATTAAATTTATCTCATTCTTAAAAAAATTCCAAAACTTCTAAAAAATATTTTCAAAATTTGTTAACGATAATCTAAATTTCTAATTGTTACTAAAGTAATTTTTAATAACTTCATCTAAATAAAATAATTCAGATATTTTATTATTCGTTACTAAATTTATTAAATATCGTTTCTAAAAATTGAATTCTAAGACAATAAAATTTTATTCTAATATTTTCATGAAATAGTGCAACATTGTTAAAATTCTGTATAATAATTATGTAATAATTTTATATTAATTAGAATTTCATATCTAAATTTTAAACTAATTTAGAACATTCGCATTTTTTATTCAATGATTATCAAAGCATTTTAATTGTATCAGTTAATGAATAAAAGTAAATAAATTCAACATTGTAGAAATTTAAAGCAGAAACACTGCGATTAAAAATAAAAAATACTGAAATTTTCTGATCTTGAATTTGACTAAAAACTTAGTTTAAAAGTACTATCTGAACAAGATAATGCCCCTTTCCCAGGATCCTGAAAAATTATTTTACTATTAAAGGGTTTCAAGTACAATCTTGGCCTAAAATGAATATGATATTAATGCCATTGAAAGGATATTGAACATTTGTGTATAAGACATAAGGAAGAGGAATAAAGTAATGAAAGCGCACGAGAATATAGGATTTTGACAATGATTTTCAGCAGCATAGAAAAGTCTTTGAGGAATGCCCAATAAAAGTCAGGTATTTCCAAATGCCAAAGAATATCACAGTAAAAATTAAAAGGCATTAAAATTGCTTGAAATATAATTCAATTTAATATTTTGTTTGCTAATTTCATTTAGTTAATGTATAATAAATCACTTCTGATCATAACACTGTATATTTTAGCAACAAACGTTTTGAGAATTTGCCTAAGACTGCTTTGCATAGTTTGACATTTGTTAGTATTTAACGGTTCTTCTAAGAAGTGCTAAGTTACCTTTCTTACAATTATTAAAATACTATCGCATTTTGAAAAGTTTTACTTCCGAGCATTTTGAAAGCGCTTTTTTTGTCGGTATTTCAGCTGTATTGTTTTTTGAGCTTCTACTGCGCTGGTATAATTTAAGCTTGATGCGTTTAACGATTTGTCGCTTGACTAATATGCCTTTCACTTAATTTATAACAAAATTGATTTACTAACGAAATTTCATCTAGAGCCGAGAGAGGAAATGATATTTTTATTGCTTTTGCGGTTACTTCCCGATAGCGACCAGATCGAAATGCATTATTCATTAGCATTAATGTCTTTTTCTTGGATTCTGTCTTCTTACATTCAGAATTTGTATAACTATTTTTAATTCTTAGTTTGTAAACAATAAATATATCCCTTTTACGGATATTTATTTAGCTAAAAACGGCATTTTTTATCCATGAGAAAGTAATTTCATTCTAATCATTCTTCAAAAATCTTTTCAAAGATTTTAAAAAAAATAATTAATTTTATGTATAAGCATTTTTTATTTATTTCGTCATAAATATTTGATGTTTTAATGCTTTCTTGCAGAGTCTTTCCTCGTCGAAAAATGCCAGCATGATTGCGTGAACTATATTTTTCCCATCTGTAACTATTGCGATTTTGGTTGGAAATATGGCTCTAGTAAAGATGTCGTATGCCCAAAACATGGTCCGTATAAACGATATATATTTCCTTATCACTTTCCGACAGAGCCTGTCACCAAGAGTCATTCAAAAATTTATTCGGAAAGGTCTCTGACTGAGTGATATCTATACTAAAATCGGAAGATCTCAATAATGAAATAAAAACACTATATACACTCTAGTAATGCACTTCGAAATAATCTTATGCAAATGTAATGAGAAAACTTTATATGCATATAGTCAGAAAACTCTCTTCAAAATATAGCAATGGTAAATAAAATTCAGTTCTGGTTTTCAATAAATGATGTCCTCGTATTAATATAATGATGTGAGCAAATTCAAGTCGGAGACTTGTAGAGACATCAGGAATTTTTGGAAACAAGATAGATTGAAAAATTGCAATGCCTTTGCCGGGAATAGAGCCACGGACCTCTGGATACGCGCCCAGTGTGCAGACCACCACACCACGAAGGCATGCCAAGATGGCGGGAGAAATACCTTATAGACTAACCCTAAAAAAATAACAGGAATGCTCCCAACTAAATTTTGTTTTCATATTTTACTTAATGATTATTTTATTTCAAATATTACTTGAGCTGAAAATACCGTTTAAAAGAAGTTACCTTACATAGTAATACTAATTATTATAACTAAAATATAATATATTATTAATAAGAACCTTTAGAGATGTTATTCTTTTAAATTAATAGTTTTCACCCAGTGCAAATAACGATCAGAGGTAGCTGTCATTCGGCAGTCAGTCAGACTTTAGTTTTATCACTTAAATTTTATTATACTACAAAGCATTACTCAACAGCATAATAATAATTATTATTTAACATAATCTGAACGTCTTAATATCATTTTTAAAACTGGTGTTATATATTATTAGAATAATTGAATAAAATAAGCTTTTGATACCATATAATATGCCAATTTCAAAATACCCAACTTTACGTCTTACGTACACTTTACCTTGGAAAAGAAGCCCACCAGTGGCTCAGCGGTAAAATCGCTGAACACTAGTAGTTCGGTCCGAGGTTCACATCCCGCGAACGAGCTGGTTGCATGGGCGGTTTCGTGGTTTCCCTGTGTAACGTGTATACGAGCCCTTAGAAATTCCTCCACGAAGGCATCCCTCCTCTTAGGCAGATAGCCCTATAGTGTGCTTTGCCGTATTCTCAATACACCAAATACACACCTTGCAAAAGAAATAAAATTTACTTTTAATTATACGATCTTGCCGTATTATATAGATTTTAATCCTGTGTCCATATTTATTCTTCAGCATTACTCAAATTGTTACGTTCTTTCTCAAATTACGTTCATTCTCAAATGGTAATATGTCTTTAAATAATTGTCATTTTCTAATTCTTTTACATTGTTTTACATTCAAAAGTGATATGAAAAAAGAAGCGTCAGAAATTCCAAAATTAAACTACATTTTTGCGTTGAGGTTTTAGTTCTATATAAAAGTGTAAATATTTAATTTTATCATTTGGCAAGACAAGGTATTATTTTCATTCATTTCTTGTTGAATCTCCTGTAAGATGTTAAAGGATCAGAAATTTTAAAGCTCCTAGCTTCATATTATTTTATTAACTGAAACTCTTATTACTTCTAATTTATTTTTAAGTTCTTCATACGGTAAAGAACGTGAATAAAAAATTAAACAAAATTCAATATAATTCAATTAGTAATTAATTAAGGTTCTTTGCAAAATTACCACAGGAATGTTTTAGTTCCAAATCGAAAAACATTACTAAATGCGACTGAAAGAAAAATTTAGGCCATGCAGTTTCGAAGACATTAAATATTAAATACACTAGTTTTAAATTTAAGAGAAATTTCACATTATGCATGTAATTTCAAGAACTTATCAATATTATAGTGAAATTGGCATGCATAGATATATAGGAATAAAAGATAAGTTAATCAAATAATAAGAAAGGCTCGTGTAACTGTTACGGCACATACATATGATCGTGCTTAAGGCTCACCGGGGCAGAAAAGTATAAAACAGAGACTGCAATTTCGAAAAAAGAAGTAAGCTAATGCCGGTATGCTTCTATTTAATAGACACATACCTCTGTTTACGTGACTATCTATATACATGTTATGAAACAATTTACAAGTCCATGTGGTAGTCCGTTTCACTCTTAATGCAATACACCGCTGTGCTTTTCTTTCTCGCAAGACAAGTACATTCAGCATTAGGATTGATCATGCCTTACGAAAATCCAGGAAGCCCTCATTGTCCTTACATCACAGAAATAATTTTCAAAGCTCTATATGCATATAGTACACAATAAGCACCAGCAAACAATGCATGTCCTTTCTTAGCTCCTGACCCTTGACGTTTCAAGCAGTATAAACCTTGTCAATTAATGAACCTCTGAAGACACAAACCTAAGGAACGTATCATGCATAGGGAAAGAAAATTACGATAATGGAGTATTTTGGCCGAGGTGCTAATTCAACTTAGTGGATACCTAGCCCATTGTCGATGATGGAATGAAAAGGTACAAGGAAATACATTAATACAAATTACTGAATTACAAAATCAGTAATGTCAATGGAACTGCGACATTAAAATCGAACACAAGTTTGGTTTCTTCATAATAGTTACATCGTTTTCTTAATAAATAAATGGTAATGTAATAAAAAAAATATCCTTAAGTTAAAATGCTAACGATAGATAAAAATTAATTGCAAGAGTTGCTTAAATTTTGAGAGCTAAAATATTCAAATAAAAAAGGAAATATCGGCAACTCAAAGTATATACCAAGGATGATTAATAGTTCTAATTTATTTGTCAGAAGCTTAGCAATAATCAATAATACCATTAATAAAATACTTTCATTGCAAAAAATTAATTTCAAATGTCTTCAAAGTTTCTTTAAAATACCTGATTTTAACCATATATCACTTTCCATCTCATCTTGCTATTCAAGAAAGCTGTTATTGTATACTTCATATCTTTCCTGTTATGAGGAATCTATCGCCTTCTTATCTTATCTTCGCGTAAACTTCTTTTGTTATTTTATCAAGTTTTTCAAGAGAGTTGATATTTTATTATTACATATTTACACACTAATGGACGAAATTTAGGTAATCTAAGGGTCATAAAATAAGTCTCGAATATATCTATTCTCCTATCGTTTTATCTTTATTTTAATTACATATATTGAAGAAAGGGAATATGCGAAAAAAATTTAAAAAAAACTTTTTACAGTTTTATAAACTTCCTTTTTTTTTCATATTTTGTGTAGTTGGCTGTTTTCACACATTTCATTTACTTAACAGAAAAAATAGCATTTACTGTATATTCCTGCTTATAGCGTGAACTATTAATACAAGAAGTAAGATCGAAATTTACAGGTGAGCGTTATACGCCGGATATAAAAAAGATAGATTTAAAAATAAGTAAAAGACGAACATGCAAAAATTAGATTTACAAATGTACACAAAGTCTGTTTATTTAAAAGAACAGACATACCTTACGAATTTAAAAATTGTCACTATTGGATAACATGAAAGACTTCTAAATATTCTTCCGTTATATCTTCAGACACATCATCGCATTTTGTTTTATCCTCACCAACAGTGTATGATATATAAATAAGTAAACACCTTCCGTTCCAGCTGGATTGTTAAAAGTACTACATTTTTTAAATGACTTGTAAATTATGTCAGCTTTAATTTCATTCCATGCTTTTATTATCCACTCACACACTACTTCTAGACTAGCATGACGCATTTGGCGTCCTCTGGCAAATGTTGTTTCGTCTTCTAACAGCCACGAATTCTACTGTCGTTTTAAATTTTATTTGAACGGTTTAGTAATATACGCATCTAAAGGCTGAACTAATCGCGTAAATCCGCCTGGAATAACTGCTATGTCTGTGTTACACTCTTTCCACAATTTTGTAGTACTATCCGTTTGATTTGATTTGAACATGTACCAAGCTGAACACGTCCGGAACTGAGTTCTTAAAAGCAACAGGACGTTTTTTCCAAACATTTCTTATCCACATTTCTCACACTCGGCAAAGCCCTTTTTACCATTCCAGATGTATGTCTGCTTTCAGTCGCCACAGCAAAGAACCGTACTGATATTATATTATGTCGTTAAGCTACATAATCTTGCGTATTATATATTTCTGTTCGTTCAACGAAAATTCAAATATGCCAGCATGATACCTATGCGTTAAGTTAATACGATCGCAAAGCTAAAGACTTTCTAGAGGAACATCAAGAAATTGATGAAATGGACACTGGAGTCTGAGAAAGAAGCTATTCCTAGAGCCCTCAATTTTATCAATAGTACCATGATTTTAAGCGCGCTGATGACGATGAAGCATTGACTAAATTGCCAGTAGTTGACGGCAGTCTTTTCTTAAGTGTCATTGTGGAGTGATGTTTATGACAGCGTCCGGTAGTCCGAAGCTCTCGAGTTCAAATTTAAGCAATGGCATCATTATTTCTTTCGGGTGCTTGGCCCTGATTTTTTTTCTTCTCTAAAATCTTATGAATGGATAAAAATGAATTAGAGAATGATGAACGAGCTTTTTTTTAATGTCTGGGTTTCATAGACTCTGACTTTTCATAGACAAAATCTTTGCAAAGATATAGGAGAAATGTGTTCCATTTATAAACACGTTTCTCCTATACGTTTGCATTACCTGTTTTATTTTTTCTGCTCTCTATGTCTTAAGGTATATGCATGCTAAATATGGGTATTTTTGCAAATTCATTGATTTATTTATTTGCTGTTCTTGATAAAAGGTCATATACTAATTAGTTTTTAAGCTTGGTTAATTCATACGTACACGTACGCACGAATGTGCATATGTACACAAAGAGTCAATACGTTACGTGGTAGAATACATTATAAATGAATCTCAGAGTTGCGTAATGGTATATTATTTGACAATATGATAGAAAATGTTTTTAAATATACAAAATAGCAAACTTAAATTCAGAAAATCAAAGGCATAAAAATCCACGTTAATATAACACAATAAAAATAAACACATAAATCTGCGGAGATTACAAGACAAATTCAAACTTTCTCCGTGTACCGAGATTGCCGGGATTTTACTCGATATGTTCAGGTTCTCGCAAAAAATGACATAAGGGCGCATAACGTTAAATATTTTTTCACAGCTACGAGCTAGAGTCAGGATCGAAAATAAGAAAGGAGGTGTGACCTTTTGTCACGTAATCTGTATGAAGTGTGGCAAGACTAAA